GGGGGGGACGCGGGGGTGTGCAAGGGGACACGGGTGTGCAAAGGGGCACGGGGGTGTGCAAGGGGGCACGGGGCCAACACGCCAGTCACGCGCAGGGGGCACTGCGGGGTCACGCACGGGGGGGCACAAGCAGCGACAGGGGCGTAAGGAGCGTGCAAATCCTTGCACGAGCACAGCTGCGGATGCTCGAGCACGGACGCGCGGGGGAGCCGTGCCCCGGTGCGCACCGGCGGGCCCGGCCGCGCTCACCGGGCGGCCACGAAGAGCGTCCCGTTGAGCCGCAGCATCCGCTGGAAGTCCAGGCCGAGCCGGGCCGTGCCGTTGTCCCCCCGGAGACCCCCGAAGCGCGGGTACGCGGCGGTGGCTGCGCAGCGGGAGGACGCGGTGAGACCCCGGCAGCCCCCCCGAGCCCCCGGGCGCCCCCCGAGCCCCGCTCACCTGCCAGCCCCACGGTGCTGCGAGGCACCAGGTCCCGCGGGAAGGACCGGGCGGGGGTCCCGGCGAGGAGGAGGAGGACGACGAAGGGCAGCGGGACCCCCGGCATCGCGGGTGGGGCTGAGAGCGACCCCCCCGCCCCGCCCCGGGCTGCGAGCGGGGGGAAACTGAGGCGAGGGGATGGGGGTGGAGTGGGGACAGGGTGGGGACAGTGTTGCCAGTGTCCCCAGTCCTCGCAGTGGTCCCCATTACCCCTTCCCAGTGTCCGTACTGCCCCTGCTCCAATGTTGCTGTCCCGAAGTCCCCAGTGCCCCCGTGCCAGTGCTCCCAGTGCTCCCAGTGCTCCCAGTGCTCCGGGAGCTGCTGCCCCAGCGCCCCATTGTACAGCACCCACCTGCACCGCCCCAGCACCCCAAAACACCCCCCTACACCCCGACACCGCTCTCACAGCACCCCATAACACCCCCAACACTGCAGCACCCCCACGACACCCTCACAACGGTCAGCGTCCCACGCAAAGCTCTAAAACACCCCAAAACCACCCCGGCGCAACACTCCACGGCCCCGCACAGCGCCCTACACACCCCCTGCCCCAACACCCCACAACACCCAACCCACACCCCAAACCTACCCCAAACCCACCC